GAGAATTCTATCATTTCATGGTTGCCAAGGCCAAGACAGCCCCACCAGATAATAATATAAGAGTGAACTGTCTCTCTTCGCACTGGCTTTTCTACTGGCCTCACATATGTTGAACAAGAACACCATCTGCTTATCCAAAGCGAAGAAGACCAGACCTGTTGACGTATCTTTTCAAGAACTTTATTATGAACCACAACTTACATCAGCAATGCTTTCACCCATATTGTCAAAGCCTCAAAAACTGACAGCCTTTCAGTATCAGTATGGACCTATGTATATGCATCATCAAATTGATTTATACTCAATAATGCTGATGTTGAATATGATATAGTAATACTCTGATATCATTCTTTATGGTTTATTTTTGATATTTCAGGGTGTATTGTCCTCGCAACTGTATGCAGGCAAATCCACACTACGCTCGTGTCATTGGAACACAAATTTATTCTGATGTAAGTATAGCGATTTACATTGCATTATATAATGAAATATAAAATCCTATGAAAAGGTATAATATAAAGATAATAAGATATAATATAGAGATCCAGTTTTCCTCCATATGCTGATTTTTTACACAGTCTTTTCAGAAGTTCTTTTTCAGGGGTTTCCATTTAATTTAATAATGTTCAGCTGCTGAAGATATGGAAAGTTATTTGAAAACTCAGTGTAGACTGCAGTAGTCTCTGGACCCATATTTTCTTTTTTTTAATCAAAATTCCCACTGATTTGTTCAGTATTGGCAGTGTATACTCATTTAAACACTTGCTTTTTAGACCCTGATGCAACCATAATTTCTGTCAGATTAAACTAGCCAAGAAAAATTATTCTGAAAATAAATGTCCACAGTCTCATTATTTTGGATATTTCTTAGCTGTGTAGATAGCTAAATATTTGCAGCAGGATTTTGATATATTTGTGTAAAGTATCTCACGTTGTCATATTATTTTAACAGACTAATATTGTTTGGGTTTTTTTCGTTCTGTTTCCCAGTCAACTTTTTTTTCCTGTCTTTTCTTCATCATGTTTAGTCCTGAAGTGGGTAGAAATAATGAAAGTTCTTTTTTATGCCTCTTGTTTCTCATCTCTATATGGAGAAGCCGGGATGTAGTGGCAGAGAGACCACTTCACATTTTTGCCAGTTAACTGTATGTTTTAACTGTCTTTTAGCTGTCATAAGGAATAGTATGGCAACCAGCTGGGTCAGATGATGATTTTCACTACTTTCCAGCACTTTGAAATGTGTGAAAATAATATACAAATATTTATTCATCATGATTTTGATACTAACTAATGTCCATTAGATTACCTGAGTAACTTGTCCTGAAAATACTCTTGTCCGTGAGTAGTGTTACATGTGGAATTAATTCAGGAATTAAATTGATTTGTGCATGTGGAACTGGGTCCTTAATGTGTATAAGGGGGGCAGTGAAAATAGATTCAGTGAAAGTCCATTTTGTGGAAAACGATTTTCTTTCAGTCCTGTGGTTGCAATCAAAGGTTACAGCCAAAGTTTCCCACTGAGTTAGGAAAGACTGTTGTAGGAGAAAGAAGGCCCATTTCTGTTTAACTTAAACACAAGAACATCTCAGAATATGTGTTTGCTTTGGTAGATTACTTTAATTAGTATTATAGGGTTATGCTTTAAAATTATTTTAGATGTACTATCTCATTATTCATCTCCATTGTATAGAAATGTGTGCAGCCATACTGCTTTTAGGAAAAAATGGACATAAATACAGGTAAGAAACCAGGGATGGGAGTCATCTTACCAACTTCAGATGCTGCCAGGGTAGATATCTACACTGAAGGTGCTATTCTAGGTTATGTTTATAGTAGTTTGTAGTACATACAGTGTAGTGGTAAAGGAAATAAATAGGCATCTGCAGAATTCATTTGACCTTTCGGAGTGTCTACCTCAGTATGAGATGAATTGCCTAAGAGAGATGTCTATTCCTTTCCATTTCCTCCAGAGGGGTCCTAGGGCACCTAGCTCAAACAGATGTGTTTACCTATATTTATATAAATGTTCCCACTGATGATATCAGCATTATGTGATTTTCCACAATGTTCCTTTGTTGCTAACATTTAAATTATTTTAAACTAAGATACTTTTTATTGAAATTTTCACTAAATAATATAATATAATATTGGGTATTTTGTGCATTATAATTTATTACTGAACTAGTTTCAGGTGAAGAATTTATAGAGAATAATCTATTTAATAAGTGTTAAATTGTCTTCTGCAATTTTTCATGTATTCACAGACATATTTGTTTGTAGATATAGAGAATTCATTTGACCACTTGTCATAGCAAATGTATTTGAAATTGCAGTCCATGATCTACTTGGTTGATTCCACAAAACAGATGTTTTTTTGTGACATTCCTGCAGATTCTTTTGTTTCAAAAATGCATATATATGTGTGTGGATGTATGCATATGCACATGACTATTTATTTGCACTAGTGCTTAGGCCACTTGCATTCGGTAAATGAAGAAGATGTTGCAGAGATATTAAGACAAAAATCAAATAACATTAATAGATGTTACTAATGCAAAAAGATATGTTTACAAGAACGTTTTTGTAGTATTCATGAGAATCTAGTTAAACTTTTCCTTTTCTGGCTTTGGTCTAATCAGACATTCATTCTTAAACTCATTTCATATTTTACGGCAACTTCTTTTCTTCCCTGTTCCTGAGAAGGGTTGTTCTCTGGTTTATCAGTAGTACCCCACAGAACTTTTACCCGTTTTTTCCTCCCATTCTTTTTTTCCTTTGACATTGCAATGACTGTCCCTCACTCAACTGAAACAAAAAAACCCATTATTTCATCCTCCATTCTTCCAGTCTGCTAGCTATTGTCTCTTTGTCTGTGGCTCATATGGTTCATACAGCCAGCATCTATAAACTTATGTATGTGGGGAGTTTTCACGTAATACCCATCCCCCTGTGCTCTTATACCTTCTATTTTTTCAGCTGATCTCCCTTTGTTTCACTTGTCTTGAGGTAGGTTGCAAGCTCTTTAAAACAAAAGTCTCTCTTATTCTGAGTTTATGGTACAATTAGTTTCTTTTCTGAATAGACCTATTATGGTATGAATAAGAACTGTAGTGTGTGTTGTTCTCAGCAGACAGAAGTACAAATTACTCATTCTGCATATTGCCCAAACGCATTGCCACCTTTGTGCTTTGTGTCTCTGCTGGCCCCACTGCTAAGTTTCCACATGGCAATGCTTTGTCTTGTTGGGAGACCAGGAAAAAAAGAAAGTTTCCTCCTATCTTATGCTGAAGGGTTAGTTCCACCTTTCAACTTTGGTTAATTCATTTTGTCTAAAACTTTTTGAGTCTTATTTCTGGAATTTCAGAATCGTGTCATGTTGACAAGCATTTTAACAGTATGTGTATTTTTAAAGCACTTTTCAATATAACTGCATTTATGAAATAAAATAAAAACCTTCCCAAGAACTGAGTCATGTCAGGCCCAATGTGATTATCTGAACTCTGTTCGAAATGATCTTGTAGCACCTGCCTGTACAAAGATTGTCCTTTGTTATTGCTGTTAGTCCCTGGATTATCAAGGTACCAAAATAACAAACATTTTCATATAGAGAAGGAGAGGCTACAATAGTTCAGTTGAAAGTTCTTTCACTTGCAGATTGTTTTGGTAAAATTTTATTTTAATGGACACACCTTAGATGTGTATATGGTAGAAGTTCTTAACCACATTCCAGTTGCCTTATAAGAATTTCTAAAGAGATTAAGGTTTATATTTATCCTGTTGTTTTCACAGTATGCAACATTTTCCCAAAGACAATCTCTTACCAGAAGTGACTTTACATTATGGGTGTTGATTGAGCAATTCTGCAAAAAAGTTGAGCCTCCTTTTGCGGGCTAGAGATTAACAAAGGTCTTTTATCTAAAGAATTTGATGGAGTTGTATAATTTCATACCATTTGAGGACTGTGGCCGTATTAATTTTTGTTTCAGTAACGATATATAGAAATATTTCCCTAATACTTGTGGAAAAGTATTCATAATTCTCGGCTGTGGTGAAATATAAACAATATGATGTAAAAGAGCTATTAAATAGTTCTATAGTCCCGAGATGGTGAGGGAGAGACGCTTGTGGTTAAAATGCCTTTGCAGAGTACTGCTGTGCCGTGGTAGATATTTGGTATTTTGCTGAGTAGCTGAAGAAGGAAAATAATTAAGCAGCTTGGTATTCAGATTCTATGACCTGTTAAATACTAACGAATTTCAGAAGGTTCACAGCACAGCAATAAAGCAGGGTCATATAATGCTGTATGAAATATTTATGTTAACTTAAAAATACTGCCTTATATATCCTTTGGAGTTAGCTCATCAAAATTAAAGAAACAAACACAAATCTCTGATGAAGGTTTCCAGAAAGTGGCATAAGGCTGCTACTGTAAAATACCAATAATATTCTGAAAATTCCGATAGACCTAAGTGTGAAATCCTGTTCTGCTTAAATTAACAGGAGGTTCACCTTAACAGTTCAAGGAAGTGTGATCAGGATGACATAATATTATTAAGTATAGGAAATATTATGGCATCAGTACTGGAATATGGTTCCATTTAGATGAAGATTGCCAAACCAATGAGAAGTTCTTGAAAGCTCAAAGCACATAATACTTTCTCAAAAAAATTATATTCTGTATACATTGGTAAAACTATATGCATTTATTCATCTGTATTCTTACGAGCTAATTCGTACTTATGAATTTATACTCATTTAATTGTTCATATATTCAAAAAGTATGCACATTTGTTCTCCAATCTCATCTGGAAAGCAACATCAGAATAGCAGTCTATTCTTCATCTGAAAATAGCCTCTGAGTTGGTCTCATCAATCCCACTCTTCTGACCTCTCCTTTTTCGCATATCCCATATAAGCATCTTGCCTTTAGCTTTAAAATGTTGTGCATTAGCCTAGCTGTACTTCATTGATCCAGTAACCAATTGTGGTACCACCCTAACAATGACCCTATCTTTTACTGGAAGTAGTTTCTAACAGGTAGTCAGCCTCTTCTGTCAAAATCTCCATCTCTTGACTTTTCCTTTCTTTTGTACTTGACTAGAAACTTCGAAATAACATTGGAACAGCCAGGATCTTAGCTACCCTCAAATGTAATTGTAAAGGTATCTACCTATCTAATGACGTACACAAAGTGTAGCCTTTTGGTTACTATTGCAGAGGTGACAAACTTTGATCTTTCTTTTCCCCAGTTGTACCTCTAGCATTTTTTATATCTCCAGTGTGAACTGAAAACAAGTTGCTACTGCATTATAGTACTAGTAATTAATAGTGTTCTAGTTCTTCACTGTAGTTAATTGCTTGTAAATCTTACCTTTTTTTCTTTAGACTGTAATCCTGTATTGCAGAGGACATTTTTCCCCTTGTATATTTGAAATTGCACATGATCAATCTGATCTTAAGTTACTCCCATAGTATGAGTACATAAGAGATGCTGTAATCCTAAAAATAAAGTGACTACTGGTGTTCAGGATATAATGAAAGTCTTGTAGCCCTGGGAGGAGGAGAAAAAAGTACAGAGGAGCATAAAGTGCATCCCTTCTGGCACTTTCAAAAACTGAAGCCAGCAGTGTGAAGAGAAAAACTCTAAAGCTTCTTTGCAAAAGATTCTTTGCATAAACAATTTCAAATCATTGCTCCTAGAAATATTTTAACATTAAAAGACAAACTATATGACAGTGAAACTGGCAAGTTCTGTGCTTGGAATGAGAATAGGAAAATCATTGCTATTTTAAATTCCTGATTCTATATAGCATTTAGATTACGAAATAGCTACGGTAACAGATATAAATTATTCCAACTATAACTGGAAGAAATGCAATTCTTGTTTAGATAGTGGTCTGTGTGACCAGCTATTGATATTAGTATTGACTAAGTTTTTAAGGTTGGTTGAGGAGAGACCTATTGCAGTGAAGACATTTTCCACAAAACAACTTGGCTTCAAGTGGAGATTCACTGTAGCTGGAGCTACATTTTGCTGTGCTGTGTATTGAAGATTGGGACCTACATTCTGCAGTATCTAAGAAGTTTCATTCTTCTGGCAATTAATTTTTAAAATGCTGAAAGAGTAGTAGAGGACTGCAAGTTTAAATCAATTATCTAAATGAACATTATCAAGATTGTCATTAAGCAATTCTTCTGTGCGTATTATTTATGCTACATAGGTTCATGAGAGGAATTAGCGGCCAGAGAATGTAGGTTTCACTCAGATGAAACTGCTGTTAACTTCACAGAGAATTTTGCCTGCGTAAAGTCTGTGGAATTAGACCCTGATTTAAAAATTCTTCTTTTAAAGCAATTTTGAAGCCTTTACCCCCTGACTCTATTTCCTCACTCAGAGTTAAGGAGCTAAAGCCATTAGTCTGCCATTAATCAACTGTTGTAGCTAAGGGATGATTTTAGACCTCTATCTTCTGTTTGATACTCAGATTATACTTTTAATCTAATTAGCTTTTAATATTTGCTCAAACCTGGATAGGAAATTGTGGTGTTTCCTTCGAATATGGATCATTTCACTGCTGTTTGAGGTTTTGCATCTAGAGATGGAATTATTGCAGCCTATCCCTCACCCTTGGGGTAGGACATCCTCCTAGAAATACATGACTGCAGCGTGCCTTTGCTGTTCTACAGTTCCCCTGTTTGGCTCTGGCTGGAGATTAAACTGAATCTCCTGATCTATGATAATTAATGGGACTAAGGTTTGAGTTTTACTGCCTCTCTGCTGTTGAAGTGAAGGCTGATAGAGCCTCTAATTTTGAAAGGCTCAAGAATTGAAACATGTTCCTGATCCTTGAACTGAAATAGCCTGAAATGAATGATTTTGGGGTCATGCTGCAGTAGATCTTTGAAGAGGCAGTGTCTGTACTCCTATAAATTGGCCTAATTCCTATGAAACTGATTTAAATACTGTAAGATTAATAAAATCAGTCTTGCAATAAATATAATTATTTTATGTTTCCTAGAACTTGGTTTAAATGTCTTCCCTAGTTTTCTTCTAAACAATTTTGAGATAAAAGGATGAATGAAAACTAATCTTCTCCTCATTCTTTCTTAGATATCCAGTATCTGCCGGGCAGCAGTACATGCTGGTGTAGTCCGCAACCAGGGCGGTTATGTTGATGTTATGCCAGTAGACAAAAGAAAGGTGTACGTTGCTTCCTTTCAAAATGGGATATATTCAGAAAGGTACAGAGCCCAGTTTCAAAGATTACACTTTACCCTTCACCTTGATAAGATTTACAAAGTCTTGCATTGTGTCTGTTTGTACCTGGGGCAGTGCTAGAAACCAAACAAAGAGGCCAACATGGGTGATTTACAGAGCTTGTGTAACAGCTGTGGTGACTTTGGAGAAACTGTGGTACCAGAGCTGCCTGCCTCCTCTAAGCTCATAAATCATTACTCTAAAAAGCTGCTTATGAAATAAAATAACCCTCTTGTTTACTTCGCTGGTTCTGTCGCAACTAACACAATATTTGATAAGAAAATTGCCTTTGCTTTCTTTGGGATTTTTTTAAAATTAACATTAGTGATTTATTCTGTCCAAGTTAGGGGATCTGCAATAGACAGGTACTAGTAGCTGATGCAAGTTCATTGGTTCATGATGAAATATTCATTACTGATTTACATGGTATTGAACCAGTGAGCCTGGATCATAAATAATATTAATGAGTAGTAAAAATCACAATCATTGAAATATATTTTTTAATTTCTTTTTTTTTAATGGTTTGACCGTTTTTAACAGTGTTTTTCTGAAAGACATGGAGATGCTGTGAAAGTTCATTTAGTTGTATTCAGTGTATTCATGCGTTCTATGATGACAACACATGGCTGCATGTTGCAGATTAAATTTAATGCTGGAAAGAGTTCTCCAGGTTCTAAAGGAAGAAAGAGAAATTACCTCAAAAAAAAATCTTGTACCACTCTTTTAGTCCTGTAAAGCTAAGAATGGTTGTTACCTCTAAAACTATAGGCTTTCCAAGAAATTTGTGGGGGAAAAAACCTCCAAAAGTTTCTGTGGAGAACTTGGAAGTAGAAAAAAATAAAGTATTTTTTTCTTATTTTTAATTGGGGGTGGGAGGGTGTCTTGCCTCT